TTTTTTTTTTTTGTTGAAATACGAAATTTATTGATAAAAAAAAAAGTTATTTACAGTTTTGGTCATTTAGTTTTGTAAAAATCAAATTTGAGAAAATAGAAATTTCATATTTGAACAAACACAGCATGAGCTAAGAATTCATGTCGTTGGGAGAAGCAGAGTTGAAACTCCCTTCTCAAAATGTGGACTATATATAAAGAATCCAACGAAATTGATTACTTGAAAAAGCTTTCCCTCCGCCTAGTCTCTATCACGCAACCCCTCCTCTATCTACCATTTGAGGAAGGTATTTATAGAGATCTTATCTTGAAGCTCTACCCCTAGTCGAATCTAGGGGTCAAGAACGTTTGATACATACAGTCTCATCAATTAACTATTCCCTAAGGGTTAGAGTGCAAATTCTCTAGGGTATGGTAGGTTAGCCCTTCTTGTGCCATCTCAGATGTTGGGATTTTCCGGAGAGGGTGGTTAAACCATCACCCAAAATAGGGATATATCCCTTTTCATACTAACGTTTTCATACTAACTTGATAGCATACAATTAGAAGGCTTAAAAACCCACCCCCAACACATACCTAACATAACTTATTACTTATACATAATATTAGTTGCATATCACACCAACTTATTGTCTTATACATGAAAACATTGATTAACGACTTTGTTTCCACGAGTTGTATTGTTTAATTATGTATTTTATAATTAATCCAATATGAACATTGGGGGTGTGAATATAACTTCTCAACTTATTATTAGATAAATGTTACACCATTATTGAAAACAAGGTCAAATCTCCATCGATACAATCATTATATTTGTTATAGCTTAGTTAACTGGATCATAATTTATGCGGTTGTTTTGGTTCTCTTTCCTCACAGCTGGTGGCAATTGGTTACATTTTTTATGACACTCGGAACATTCTCCTGCTGATGAAAATCTTTGACAATGTGGACGACAAATCACATTGCATTCAATTTCTGATTTTGCCTCACCTCCAATCACAATCACCGCTATTATCATCATCATTATCCAAACTATGCCAACAAATTTACCCATC